GCTGAAGTCGGATGCTTAACCAACTGAGCCACCCAGGTGCCCCGCTTATGGTGCTTTACTAATAATACCTGCATGATATTTGATTCTTCACAAGGTGTTTTTGCATATATTCCTTCTTTTAACTTCTCAGATACCATAAAACACCATATAAAGGTAGTATTACTAAAACTCATTAATTAATTAATTAATTTAAAAAACCATATTTATACAACTTTGTTACTTTGACTGAGGATATTAGTGCTGGAAGGGACCTTATACATCATCTACTGTAGTCTAATCCCTTCATTGCATAGATAAGGAATCTGAAGCCTAGGGAGATTAAGTGACCTGTTTTAGGTCATCCAATTAGCCAGTGGCAAACTAAAGACTAGAACCCATGTCTACCTGGCTTTGAACCTATTATTTTTACTATAGCACATGGCCTATCCCTCAGCATCTCCTTAGTACATATAGGAAACATGGCTGAGTGAGGAAGCCTACTTTTTCAGCATTAGCTCTAGATGAGTCCTTAGTTTGGTACCTGCTGCAGTCTCCTTTGAAGCAATCTAGTGCTATAACACCAGGCCATTTCAGCTGGGTAAGAACAATAAATATGACGGCCTTCATGCAAAGCATCAAGGTCTGTAACTAATGTGTCTACACATCTGATCAGAGAGCAGTCATAGCATCCACGTACTTTCAGGTTGCCAAAAGGGAGAAACTAGATTGTATGCCAACTCCTTCCCCTTAATGCCCAGTTATATTTTCTCAAGTTACAAAATCAGGAGAAAAGCCTAGAAAAGAATAGTCTCTCACTGTTTTAGACATAGAATTTATCACTGATAGGGGCGCCTGGGTGGCTCAGTCGGTTGGGTGGCTGACTTCGGCTCGGGTCATGATCTCGCGGTCCGTGAGTTTGAGCCCCGCGTCGGGCTCTGTGCTGACAGCTCAGAGCCTGGAGCCTGTTTCGGATTCTGTGTCTCCCCCTCTCTGACCCTCCCCCGTTCATGCTCTGTCTCTGTCTCAAAAATAAATAAACGTAAAAAAAAAAAATTAAAAAAAAAAAAAAAAAAAGAATTTATCACTGATAGCAAACACTGACTTGCAATTTTTACCAGACTTCTATATTTCCCTTTTACGCTTGGAGCCACAGTGCCATAATACATAAACTTGTCTACAGCACAAATATACACACATTTGCTTCACATCTGGAAATGCCTTCCCAGGGGTTTTAGGTCCTCTACCATTTGTTTCTGTGTATACTTCTCAACTCTGCTTCCTATTACTTAGCTGACCCTTGTGTCTACATTCAGCTCATGCTCTCCGCTTCAGTCATAGTAGAGTCCAAAAACGTTTGTTGAATAAGTGAGTGAAAAGTCAGACATATTCTGCCCCATTTTCTGTAAGTGTCCCAACCCCCTGTCCCTCTATAACTGAGTCTTTCCAATATGCTATTCATTGTGTCAGAAATGGGCTCTCAATTTGCTTCCAAGACTGTGTTTCCCTGTCTTTTTTAAAAAATTTTTAATGTTTTTATTTATTTTTGAGACAGAGAGAGACAGAGCATGAGTAGGGGAGAGGCAGAGAAAGAGAGGGAGACACAGAATCTGTAGCAGGCTACAGGCTCTGAGCTGTCAGCACAGAGCCTGACGCAGGGCTTGAACTCATGGAGTGTGAGATCATGACCTGAGCCGAAGTCGGACGCTCAACTGACTGAGCCACCCAGGCGCCCCTCCCTTTCTGTCTTATACTGCAACATAGTCATCTCTTTCATGGTATCTTCCTAAGTGGTATCTACTTGATTTGGCTTTATAGTCACTCTTAGCGGGTGCCTGGGTGACTTAGTCGGTTAAGCATAGGACTCTTGATATTGGCTCAGGTCATGGTCTCACGGTTCGTGTCAGCTGTCCTGCTAAAAGCACGGAGCCTGCTTGGGATTGGGTTTCCCTCTCTCTCCCTTTCTCTCTTCCCCTCCCCTGCTCACACATGTGCTCTCTCTCAAAATAAATACATAAGCTTTATTTTAAAAAATCCCTCAGTCCATCTCCCTGAGATGAATAGGCTCAGGTTCTATGGTATACTTCTATTTCTTTGCCTTGTTTTCCCATTAGATTATGAGCTCTCTGAGGCTAAGGATGAGCTCTTAGTCCCACTAAGAGCACATGACATGTTGCATTCTTGATGACTCTTTCCAAATGACTTAATAGATAGTCTATTCCTCATGACTTGCTTCTCTCTGGTGCTGTGGCTTTCTAAGGCTCAGTTCCCTTTGTGGGACTCAATCAGCTGATGAAATCAAGTAACCTTCCAGGAAGCTGGCTAGGCTTAATTTGTGAACTGTTCTCTTTAAGTGGAATGTGGCTACAGGGCACATCTGGGGTAGTGGTGAACTACAGTGCCTGGGAAGTTAATATTTCACAACATGAAACATGTAGGTTTGATAATTATGTAGGACTATCATCGTGGAAGTAAATAAGCATGCCTCAAAGTCAAATTGTTTCTAACTGACCTTAACTTGGTGTGTTTGAGCTTAATTATTAGCCCTTTCTGTAATTCCTATTGGCCCTCAGCCTAGGGAACACAATCACTCTAGTAGGCAAGGAAGATGAAGTTCCTACTTAGCTTCTGGTCTGCAACTGTTACTGGTATGACCATGATATGGTAGAAACTGACTGGATTTGGAGTCGGAATATTTGGTTTCAAATCCTGTCATTTGGTTATGACCTTAGGCAAGGTCATTTCACTCCTGTGGGTCTCAAATCTATCTGTAAGATGCAAATAATAAATACCTCACTGGATTTTATTTGTGATGATGAAAAGGGAGAACATATATGAGAATGACTTCTAAACTGTAAAGTGTTATAAAAATATGAAGGATTATTATGATCCCTCAATCAGCCTCAGTGAAATGGTATGGAACACTACTACCCATTCAGACTTAGTGAGAACCTGAAAATACGAAAACAGCCATCTTGTGCACTCAGGCAACCTTCTCTGCCAGCCCCAGGTTCCATATAGAGCTGGCCTGACAAGGACTCCTCACGGAGCCAAATGCCTTCGAACGGGATTCAGGGGCTCAGGGGCAGGGTATGGGGCCAGCACCTTCCCACAGGCAGTAGAGACTAATGACTAGGACCCCTGACAGAGATGAGAGCTGCCTCCTACCCCTTGGATGTTCTTCTTGGACACCTTAACTAGTTTTGTTGGCTTCCATTCCTCATCATCTCCATCATCATCGTCACCAGCACTGTCCTCAGGCTCATTCACGGAATGCTCTGAATAATATTTTAGATCCTCGATATCCATGCTTTGCTCCAGGAATTTTTCTTTAAAACGAGAAGGTTTGGGCTAAGAAAAAAGGTTTGGAATAATTATTTAATAAAATTTAAAAAGTACACGTAGATCATATCTTCCCAGTAGCCACTGCCAGCTATATTCTCAGAGCTGAGCTTTCAGACTCCCTCAAATATATGCCCTTGGCTTTACCAATCAGAAGAAATTCTGCTTTAGCCTTTGGCCTTGCAGAGTCTTTGAAGGGATAGAAACTGAAGGGGTAGAGGCTGAGCAGTCTGAGGGAAGAAAGAGGGACTCATGATATGATGAGATAAGTATCTCTGGATGGACAGCTGAACACTGCTCTTTTCTCCTGTTTCTCCTCAGTTGTGTTACATAATGCCTGTAAATGGCCCAAAGTCAGCCTTCTGGGGAGGGAGAATGCCTATTTTCCTCGAGATTGTACTGTAGTTTTGTTTGGGACTCCAAGGAAAATTGAGATGCTGGAATTTGGGCTTTTTAACTCTCAACCTCTTCTAAAAGATGAACTTAATTAGCACACTCACCCCCAACCATGGCCATGTGCAGGTATTACCGGCACTGAGCAGTTTACCTTAGGTGGGATATATTCAAAAGAAGAGTCTGGAGATAGAAGGGTATCTTTAGGAAGATGAGGTTTCTGCCTGCTGGCTACTTGGAGGAGGGTCAGTTTCTGTTCGGAAAGAAAACACATAGTGTATGCTGCAGGGCAGCCACTGGGAATGTTAATGGCTAAAACATAAAGACTCCTAAGATAGCTTAATTTAAACCATAGTAAAGTGAGGCAAGTTAATAGTAAAGTAGGTTGAAGGACTCACTTTAGAAGATCAGCATTAGATTCAGAAAAGAGCAGATTAAAAAATGTGTGTTTATACCATTTTGAAATGCACATGACTGTATTACATGGAAACTTGACACAGACCTCAAAAATAGAGCCAACTCATCATACTCGGGGCTGCTCCCAAGAGCTGACCTCAATTACAACAGGGTCTCCCAGGGCTTATTAAAGTGGGTGGGAAGCTGTGTTACCTGCTTGATGATTTCATTCTCTCGGAGAAGCTGCTGATTTTGCTCACACACTTCTCGCATCTTCTCAAGTTCTTCATCCTATTTCCAGATAGTGCAGTGATAGGTGGGGTTATTTTGGGCACTACATGTGGGTTACCAAACAACTCACATAGATGAAAACATACTGCTGCCAAGTCGCTGGCAGCAGATGGTTTTTGCACAGCAGGCATTGGCACCCAGAAAAATGCCTGATTCCCACCAGTTCCTAGGTGTCCTGAATGCCACTTCTATTCCAACACTCCCAAGTCGTCCTGACCACACTCACAGGAACCATGTGCTCTGCCCTAAATGCTTTCCTTATTCTTTTCTGTTTTCTAGCCTTGCATCTCTTATTCATTCACATCAGGATGCTGATTAAGAGACCAAAATGGACAGTTAGCTTTGTTTCTTTCAAGTCGAGAGATGCTTTTGTTCACCGTTCTAAAGACAGGCTAGGCATTTTATTTGCTACTCTCATAAGCCTACTTAAACTTCCTGGCACTTAAGACAACTAGATTCATGATTCGTGCATACGACCTTAACTAGTTTGGTTATGTCTTCGATGGGAGGTGCCAAGGAAACTCTTGAGACTGGTGGTTCAGGGAAAAAAAAAAAAAGATTCTAAGTTGGATAAAATAGTGCTCCAACATGCTACTAAAGGGTGTGGTGTTCCCAGCCTCTGGAAGAGATTCAGACCTCAGGCACTTTACAAACATGTCAGGTCTCAGCTCAAAACAAGCTCAGGAAGAGACAGCTGAATGCCCCTAGGATTCTGTGGGATGATTGAACTTTCTCAACTCTTTTAGGGCTCAGGGCTGAGGCAAAGAACCAGGAGGCCTCAAAGTCTGGTATGGAGTATGTACCGTCATTTCTGTACCGCGAAGGAGGTTATTCTATGTGTGGTTACATTCTAAATACCTCTAAATTGATCAAATAGGGCCAAAAGGACGCAGAGGTTACTAGTATAAATCTCTTTTCAGTGGTTACTCTCTGCTGAAAGTACAATGGTGTAAATCAGACAGGATTCTCAGCCAGGCTTGTGGATCCCACCTCTGGAGACCTTTGCCTCGTTATCATACCTGACACTTCAGTGTGCTCAGCAGCTGTTGTTCCTTTTCACTGACCGACTCCTCTAGCTGCTTCTCTGCCATTTGGCTTTGCTGCAGTTGGCTGAGCAGGTATAGCACCTAGGGACAAAAGAGTAAGAAAGAGGAAAAAGGAATTCCGGCTTAGTTCAAGCAGGGACCCAGATGACTCCTCTGATTTAGAAGTACGGGTTGCATTTTGTTCTCATGGCCTGAAGTAGTAAGCACGGCCACAATGTTACTCTCAGTCTTAACGCTGGAGGCTAAGAGCCACTGTATGTGTACACTTTGACAAGTAATTTCTCTCAAGTTCCTCGCTTGCAAAACTTGAAAAAGACTACGGGGTCTTTTGAAGGGAACTTCATATCCCTCCTACTATCTTTTTATTAAAAAAATTTTTCTCCCCACTATCTTTTTAAAACTAATAACAAAAAGCAATGACCCTTTGTTTCTCAGTATAGTTTCTTGGCTTGCCAGAGTTTACCTTCTCTTGGTGCTGTTGCTCCACTCTGACCAGCTCTGCCTGTAACTCTGTCTCTATTTCAGCAAAATGATTTCGTTCCTCAAACAGCATCTTCTGCATATCAGCACAGCTGGCCTTGTTCTGTTTCAGGCTGCTTTCAAGCTTGCTGACCTGTATTTTGGAGGAGACCAGCTGGAAGGGATAAAAGAAGATCAGTTTATTTGGAGAATGGCCACCTTTCTCCATTCATTAGGCAGGAAAATGTCAGCTTTCCTGAAATGGACTGAGAAGAGTTCCTCCATGTCCAAGTCCATTCTTCTTTTTCTATGTCATATGGAATCTCCCACTGAATAGTAACAACGCTACCCAGGCCAAGAGCCCATATTTCTGTTGAGATAGATCTCTTAGAGTTAGAAGCCACTGCTGAGGTCATTTAATCTCTTGCTCTGTCTCCAGGCGAGAATAAACTGAACACAAACAGTATCTGACAACTCCAAGTTCTGAGATTTAAGATTTTCTTCCTTCGTCTTAAAGAGAAACCCATAGGACACACCCTTATTGCCAATTATGGCCCATCTCAGAATGTCTGTGTTCACATGTTGGAACTAGTAGACACATTAGCTGGGACTGTTGATCTGGCTCTTCAGGCTAGAGTGATATCCTTTGCTGGCCTAGTTTTATAGTCTCTGCTGGCCCACACTGTGAACATCATAAATACCACTGTTCATAAGACTAAACAGGATTGCCTTGGTAGGGCAAATATGGTCACCCAATAAAAAAATGTATAAAGGATAACATTGCTCAAACTTCCAGAGTTGGAGTTTGTATGCTTGTCTCAGAGTGAAAATGCCTCAGTCACCAGAGTTGATCAACTTCAGTCCCTCTTGTGGCAATGTAAGATGATACATTATTTTAGGGTCAGTGAGGATGCATTTTCCTTAAGATGGATTCATCTTTACATGTGAAAAGATGATTAGGTTTCCTCTTTTCTAGATTGTATCTTAAACTTTTTGAATATACATGTCATAGGTGTTTCAAAAAGCAGTAAGTATAAGAGCTTATGTTTAATGAGTGGCCTACTATGGCATGCTGATATTTTCCCAATAATAATAGCAGATGTTTAATGAGTACTTTCTACACGTCAGGCATGACAGGTATCAGTTTGTAAGTCCTATATTTTTCTAAGTGAATGGCTTGTACTTGTCCACACCAGCCTTTACCCATAAAATGATTTCTCTAATGCTAGTGTCATTGCAGTTTCCAGCATGAAAAGTGGCAATAGCACTATGACAGTATTCCAAGATAACATCTTATTTCAACCTACCAAGACAGACCCCTAATTCTTGGTAGGGAAGAGTGATGCTTACCTCTCCAATTAAATATTTCAGGGCACACTTGGCTTCCAGAATGGTAGTGATACTCTCCCAGCGGTGTTTTGGCCTGTCTTCACTTTCTGCATCCAGCAACTTCTGCTGTAGGTCAGCAATCTGAGCACTCCTTCAGGGAAAGAAACAGTGAGACTCATTGCTAGTATCCCTAACACCAAGGAGAGGGGAAGAGCTCTATGGAGAAACTTCAAATAGTTTTATGGATGGAGGTACCAGTTAAATATCTTTTTTTTCTTATTTTTTAAAATGTTTGTTTATTTTTGAGAGAGAGAGAGAGAGAGAGCGAGCGAGCGCACAAGTGGGGCAGAGGCAAAGAGAGACAGGGACATAGAATCTGAAGCAGGCTCCAGGCTCTGAGCTGTCAGCACAGAGCCCAATGCGAGGCACGAACCTGAGCTAAAGTCGAGATCATGCATGACCTGAGCTAAAGTCGGACGTTTAGCTGACTGAGCCACCGAGGCGCCCCTCAGTTAAACATCTTTTAAATAATGATTGAGTCATCTGGTTAGGATTTTATACAGTATCTCCATTCTTGATGCAAAGGGAATCCAAGAGACTATCTTGGTTTTATTTCATTAAATACAGGTCGAAATAAATGGGTCATATAGTGGGATTTGGAAATATTTGTATCAGTAGGGCTTTTGTTGTAGTGCACTGACTGTAATGTGACTTTGTCTTGAGGCCATTTAAGTTCAGACTGTGATATAGTGGCTCAACCATGCAAGAGTAAGAGTCATGTTGGAGACCTCAAGGAAAAACAAAATCTCAAAAGAACAAGCAGGTAAATGTTCTTTGCTGGGACCCAATACCAAATTGATACATATGGCTAATGTTGCGAGAGGTTACCTTGAAGTGCCTGGCACAGGACTGAGAAGTTTCTAAGAAGACTCGATACCATTGACCCTGATTATAACTTACAGATACTTTCAGATCAGGTATGGCCTGAGACCAAGGTTTACACAATAATGCAGTTTCGTTAATAGCTTCCTTCTCAAATTTGCTATGTGTCTGGTGAGAGGTAGTATACCAGCATATGTGTGACGTGCTGCTCTGTAAGGTACTATAAAAGATGGGTACCAAAATAATCTAAGGTGGCAGTTCTCAAATCTTGGAGTTTCAGGACCCCTCTACACTCTTTTTTTTTAAGTACTTATTTTTGAGAGAGAGAGAGAGAGAGAGAGAGAGAGACAGAGCACGAGCAGGAGAGGGGCACAGAGAGATGGGGACAGAGTCCAAAGCGGGCTCCAGGCTCTGAGTTGTCAGTACACAGCCCGATGTGGAGCTCGAACCCATGAGCTGTGAGATCATGACCTGAGTTGAAGTCAAATGCCCAACTGACTGAACCACCCAGGTGCCCCAGGACCCCTCTACACTCTTAAGAATGACTGAGGACCTCTGAGAAACTCTGTTTATATACATTATACCTATAGGTATTTACAGTATTGAAAGTAAAACTGAGAAAAAATTAAGTATTTATTAATTCACTTAAGATAACAAAAAGCCATTGTAATATATTTTATGAAAAATACATTTTCTAAAACAAAAAATAATTTGGTGAGAAGAGTGGGATTGTTTTACATTTTTACAAATCTCTGTAATATCTGGCTTCATAGAAGACAGCTGGATTCTCACATCTCCCTCTGCAACCAGTCTTTTGTGATGTGTTCTGGTTGAAATTAACATCTTTGTTAATTGTCTTTAATCTGGCCTCTCATAGATATGTAGTTGGACAAAGGAGGAGCATTTTAATAGCCTATTCAGGTAATTGTGGATAGATACTCTTCTTTGTGATTATACTAAAACCCTGCAAGTGGTAGTTCCCTAAAGTTGAAATGTGGAATTGGAAACCATTACTAGTAAACTTTTCTTACTCCCTTATGTTAAAATCCAATGGTCTATCTTGCAATCTCAATGGTTCTTTTACCCTTACAGGCTTCTGTAACATCATCTGGAGAATGTTGAGTGATGCAAAGTCTCCAAATGCAAACACATTTCATGATGTAATATAAAAAAATAAAAAATTGTTAACATCACTACTGGTCTCATCAGAAAAGTTATGAAAAACTGTCAAGCTCAATAGTGGCAGACAAAAATTTTCCGAAGTTCTAAGTTTTGCTTGAAAGCTCAAATTCTAACTTTGGTGATAAACACTGCCAGTTGTTTTCCTTGAAGCGACGGGCTCACTCTGTTCACTTTTCAGCAAAGTGTCTGCCAAGTACTGAAGTCTGAATAACCATAGTTTGTCAGTCATTCTTTCAAAGACAACTAATGTTCCATGGAAAAACAATCGTACAAGTGCTTTTCCTCCAGACAACTCTCAGACTTTAGCACAGAGCACAAGTAGTCTGTGTTCTTCCCGTTCTGTCATGCAGAATACTAAATAGATTTGAACTCAAGGGTTGAGATTTAATGAAATTAACAATTTTTACTGCTTTAACAAAGCCATTCTTTTTTTTTTTTTTACTACTTAAAAAAAATGTGGGGCTTGAACTCATGATCCCAAGATCAAGAGTATCATATTCTACCGATTGAGCCAGCCAGGTGCCCCTATCAAAGCCAGTCTTAAGTAAAACTGACTTAAAAATAAAAGCTGAGAGTGTGTGGTGGTGACCGCTAGTACAGATTGGTGCCACTGCTCTAATTCAAGCTAAGGTCTGAGCAGTTTTGTCCACTGTTGCTTTGCACGGCCATGGCAAATGTCAATATGGTAAAAATGGCAAATGTCATAATATTATTATGAAAATAGTTCTGATTGCTCAGAGACCCCTAGGGGTTTGTGGGCCACGCTTTGAGAACTCTGGTGTAATATATAGTCCTTTCCTTCAACAAGCTTATGATCAATTTATATCAACAAGACTAATAAATGTAAAAAATTAACAAATATAAAGATGACACATCTGTTGTACCATATGATTGGGTACTGTAAGTTCTGAAGGAGTTTAGAGAAGAGGAGGATTAATGGGAGATGAAGAGTCAGGGAAGGCTTCTCGGAAGAGGTGAGCTAGAACACTTCAGAACTGTCAGTTGGTCATATGGCCTTTCCTGTCTCCTCTGATAATTCATGTCCCTTAGGTCTTTTAAAATTTAGTTTATGTCTCATCAACTTTAGGAAAATCCCCTTGGATAAACTCACCTCTGTTTCATTACTCTCTACTTGGTACCTGTTTAACATTTAATCATTTAATTATGCACAGTGGTGTGCAGGTAAATGTTTAACAACCAACACTTAAAAAACCAGACCTGATTTGTAGCTTTTGCTAGTTTCTGTAGCATAAATGTGTGGCAAGCTATCAATGGTTTACAACAGTCCTGAAATTTTAACAAATGATTCCAACACACCACTATATCATTATACTATTCCTACTTCAGAGCAAGGAATGCCACCTACTTTCTATATATCCCAACTGCATACATCCAGTGCAACACAAAGCAGACACTCAAATGTTGAGTGATTTATAGATGTATCCAAAGATAAACAGCTAGTGTGTGTTGCTAAAAACAAATTAAATGATCTTTAAGGTCTTCTGGGCAATACAATTCTATTATCGTAAGACATTCTAAAATCTCTGTCAAAGTTTGATTCCTTCTAGATATCATAGATACTTAAAAGATAGTAGTAGTAACTAGAGCAGCATAAGTTATGGTATTAGAGCCAGAAAAGGAGAAAAAGAGAACGTTCACTGAGCACTTCTAATATGCCAAGTACTGTGTTATGTACTTTATTTACTAATGTAATTTAATGCTTATGATAACTTTCCTTATATATCTACTTTGCTGATGATATCTAAACTTCTCTTCCTTCTGTACTGTAGCTCTTTTAGTATCAGTTCTTGACTTCCTCTAAAATTTTGTTTTTAGCCAGTTCTGCATTTCAGAGATACTAAGATGTGGTGTATCATAAAGAGCATGTGTTTTGGAATTAGACCAGGTTTCGAATCCCGACTCTGTATAACCTTTAGCACATTTCTTAAGATTTCTGAACTTCTGTTTAGATCTTTATTTAAATTTTATTTGAGAGACAGAGCGCAAGAGAGCACGCAGGTGGGGGCCATGGGAAAGAGAGAGAATCCCAGGCTTCATGCTCAGCAAGGAGCCCAATGCAGGGCTTGATCCCACAACCCTGGGATCATGACCTGAGCCAAAATCCAGAGTTGGACGTTAACTGACTGAGCCACCCAGGTGCCCCTGTTTAATCTTTAAAGTCAAATGAATAATACCACATAAAATGTAATAATACCTCATAGGGAGGCAATGAGAAAATGTACCCAACATGTCTAGTGAAGTGTGTGGTTCAAAAGAATTGCTATGTTCTCTCATTTCTCTACCATCAGAAAGCCTTTGAAAAACAAGCTTTTGAATCACTGGATTGATGGGTTCTCTTTTGATTCCAGGCATAAATTTTTATAAATTACAATGCCTTAGAGACAGTCCCATTACCTGAGTTCCATTTCAGTCTCTAGGCTTTCAATTTTCTTTGTAATGGAATCCTCGGACTCAGAAACTTGACCACGCAGTTCAGCAAGCGAGAATGTACGCCTCTGTAAAGAACAGTGGGAATGAGGGTGAAGTGCTAAAAGGAAAGTAACCCTCCAAAGCTGTGAGGGTTTCTGGGGAGTGCAGTCTGATTATTGATCATGTATTTCCATAAGGGCACTTACCCGGAGTTTTGGAGGTGGATTCTCCCCAAATTCCTTTTTTTCTTTGAGTTGAGCCACATCCTGAGCCAGGATCTTCCTATCTTCAAGAAGGTCATTTAGATGGCGTTTGGCTTCCTCAGTACTGACCATAACCTCAACTTCATTTCCAAGCCAATTCTAGAAGAGAAATTAGTGATGTTGGGTTAGGAATGAGGAATCACTGGCCCATGGGCTAGATTCAGCTCCAGACTTAAATTTCACTCAGAACAGAGCCCACATAAGTAGAAGTGAGATTTCCATTCATGCCCACACTCACCAAAAATTGTAATAGCTCTCCAAGAGCCTTAAACAGAAATCTCCCAGAAGGTCACAAGAAAGAGGCTTTCTGCAGAAAATCTTTCTCTAGATATCCTAGTATTTTTATACATCGTCTTTGCCTTCTCCATTTTCTCCTTAACTTTTGTCCTTAACTAGTCCTGATAAGGAATTGAAGTATATTTTGATCATCTGATAAAGAATTGAAGTATATTTTGATCATCTGTTGATTTTAATAAAGATACCCATTCTTGTTTAAAAATTTTTTTAGTTGACACATAATTTTACATTCGTTTCCTATGTACAACATAGTGATTCAGTATCTTTATATGTTATGCTATGCTCACCACAAGTATAGCTACCATCTGTCACCATACAACACTATTACAATATCACTGACTATATTGATGCTGTTCCTTTTATTCCCATGACTTCATCCCATAACTGGAAGCCTGTACCTCCCACTCCCCTTCACCCATTCTGCCCATCCCTCCATCCCTCTTCCCTCTGGCAACCTTCAGTTTGTTTTCTGTTTTTATAGATCTGCTTTTTGTTTATTTATTTTGTTTTTTTAGATTCCATATGAGTGAAATCATATGGTAATTATCATTCTTGATCTGCCTTATTTCACTTAGCATAATACCCTAGAGGTATTAGGTTCATCCATGTTGTTGCAAATGGCAAGATCTCACCCTTTTTATGGCTGTGTAATATTCCAGTGTGTGTGTGTGTGTGTGTGTGTGTGTGTGTGTATGACATCTTCCTTACCCATTCATCTATCAATGGACACTTGGGTTGCTTCCACATCTTGGCTATTGTAAATAACACTGCCATAAACATGGGGTGCAAATATCTTCAAATCAGTGTTTTCATTTTCTTTGGGTAAATACCCAGTAGCAGAATTACTGGATCATATGGTATTTCTATTTTTTAATTTCAGGAACCTCCATACTGTTTTCCACAGTGGCTGTACCAATCTATATTCCCACCAACAATGCATGAGGGTTCCTTTTTCTCCACATCCTCGCAAACACGTGTTATTTTTTGTCTTTCTGGTTTTAGCCATTCTGACAGGTGTAAGGTGATATCTCGTTGTGGCTTTCATATGCATTTCTCTGATGATTAGTGTGATGTTGAGCATCTTTTAGTGTACCTGTTGGCCATCTGTATGTCTTCTTTGGAAAAATGTCT